GGCCAACAGGTAAGTCTCCAACCCCGCTACCGCCCCAACGCTACTTCCATCGATAGGATGATCGAAATCGAATGAATCTTCCTGCGGGGCCGCGTTTGGAAAGGCCAGCGAGGGGTGTGTGCATGTAAGTAGTGTATATTTCCATGTTCTAGCGGAAGATTCATTCGATTTTGCTCATCGTGTGTGTGTGTGTGTGTGTATGTGTGTGTGTGACACTGTGTGTGTGTGTGTGTGTGTGTGTGTGTGTGTGTGTGTGTGTGTGTGTGAGAGTAGAGAGAGAGAGAGAGAGAGAGTGGAAGGCAGGCCATCTGCGTGGAGGAAGCGGAGGGAGGACGACAACGAAAACGGATAGAGAGAGAGAGAGAGAGAGAGAGAGAGAGAGAGAGAGAGAGTTTTGACCACGACGATGACGGCTATCGGCGACGAGCAGGAGTAGGAGCGGGAGGCGGTACAGGGGGAGGAGGAGAAGGGGTAGGAGCGGGAGGGGGAGCGGGAAGAGCGGGGAAAAGAGCAGCAGAAGCAGCACAACGAGGAGGAGCAGGAGGAAGGAACGGTAGGAGGATGAAGTTGTGGTGGAGCAGCAACGGGGGGTCAGTCTCTCTCTCTCTCTCTCTCTCTCTCTCTCTCTCTCTCTCTCTCTCTCTCTCTCTCTCTCTCTCTCTCTCTCTCTCTCTCTTTCTATGTGGCTAGCCACGTGGCGGGCCTTTTTTTCTTTTTTTCCGCAGGAGGATCTTTGTCACGTTGCGGGAGGACAGGAGTAGCAATGGGAGGCGGTATAGGAGGAAGAGAAGCGGGAGGAGCGGGAGGAGGAGCGGGAGAACGAGCGGGAGCAGGAAGGGGGAAAGACCAGGAGAAGCAGCGGCAGGAGGAGCAGGAGGAGGGGCAGGGGGAGAAGGAGAGGGAGGAGGAGTGGGAGGAGCGGAACAAGGAGCGGGAGAAGGAGGAGCGGGAAAAGTAGCGGAAGGGGAAAAGGGAAGGGGCGGAGAAGGCGTGGGAGGAGTGGAAAGAGGAGCGGGAGGGGAAATGGGGAGCAGGTTAACGAACGTGCGGGAGGCAGGTAGGGAAAGTGGAAGGAGGGCAGGGAGGAAAGAGGCGGGGGGAGGAGGTGGACGTCACACACACACACACACACACTCAGAGACACACACACACACACACACACACACACACACACACACAGTCGATCAATCAATCAATCAATCAATCAATTCGATTGATGAATTGATTGGTTGATTGACCGATTTTTCGTTTTTTATGTGCAAAAATCCGTCGGGTATCGGCATGTTCTCGTGTTTTGTTTTTGTTTTTAATCAATCAATCAAGCAAGCAAGCAATCGATTGATTGATTGTTTGAGAAGCAGTTCGGAGGAAAGGCCGGAAGGAGGACCCGGAGGAGGAGGCGGAGGAGAGGAGGAGGAAGAGGAGGTGCGGGAGGAGCGGGAGAAGGAGCGGGAGAAGGAGCGGGCGGAGGAGGGGCAGAAGGAGCGTGCGGAGGAGGGGCAGAAGGAGTGGGAGAAGGAGCGGGAGGAGGAGCGGGAGGAGTGGCGTGAGAAGGAGCGGCAGGAAACGGGGAGGCGGAGTTAACGAACGCATGTAGGAACGGTGTAGGGCCAAACCCCGGTAGACTTTCGAGCCTTAGTCGACCCCACCGCGGGTCCCAGTTGGCTCGTGCTGCCCACGCTCATGCTCGGGGCGCGGGCTGTTCATCCCGAGGTCACCCCCACCTAGTGCTTTGAGATGGATGGGGGTGGGCCATCGCGCGAAGAGCTTTGACATTAGGGATGTAACTCAGCCCTCACGCCGGGTGGTAGTCTCGCTGGTCGTCCCGAAACGCTGATTTTCTTTTGATTCTTTGTGGTGTTCTCATGCAATTGCTCCTTCCAATATGCAGGCAGTCCAAGGATACTTTGAGCGTTTCTCTTCTTTTGTGCGTAGGCTAAGCGTCATCCTTAGGCCACGCACCATTTCCCTAAGCATTTTGGTTATATGGCGTCGTCGGGGTGCGGCGGAGCCATTCTTTCCCGCGCTTCGACGCATTCATCGGATCTCACAATTTGTTTCCCACCTTATTGAAGTAGGCCCCTTAGTCTTTTCGGGGTCCTCATATGCATGCACACACAACATCACATTTTCCTTTGCACGATTGCACTCTCAATCACACTTCCACGTCTCAAGCGCAAAAGTCCTTTTCATGGGTTGGCTCTATGTCAAGGGTCCTATAGCCCCTTCGTCCCCTTTTTCTTTTCCTCTTGATGCCCAGTTCCTCTCGCCCCTATCCCGCTTAAGACATTTCTAGCCATTACCCACCTGCACAATCCCACACAAGCAAGAAAATTCATACAATGTCCCCCGTTGGGGGTCAACACATAGCCCTTCCCACATTCCTATCCTTTCCATGCTCTTTGGCTGTGCTTTGTTCCCTTTTTGTTGTTCAATCAGCCCATCCTCTTCTCATAGTCATGTAGTCGGGGAAATGGTTAAGTCAAACTGACCTCTCTCTCAACTTATGCTTCCTTCCGGATCCCGTCTTTCTCCCACTTTTTCAAACGTCCTTTTTTTTGCCTACTTGGTGGCAGAAGGGACCGGCTATCCTCCCCTTGTCCTCTTTCTCCACCAAGTGAAGTCTGATTTTGGTCACCGTATGTACCCTAGCAATGTTTTCCAAGTGAGGAGAGAAGGGTTAGTCATATGCCAAGTGAGGGGACGGGAGAGAGGTAGAGTGAAGGCGAGGTGAAAAAAAAGGGGGAGGGGAAAGAGAGGACTAGAGAAGGAGGGGGGGAAAGGGGGAGAGAGAGGAGGAGAG